CCCACCCCTCACACACAATACACACAACAGAGTGTGCAAATGTATGTATACGTTCCTCTTTTGCCTGTTATTCCTAAAGACCTGCACACAGCACACATTATAAAAAAAAATTGGCTACGGGTAAGGAGGCATGTCATCTCGGATTTCCTCGGTCTTGATTGGATTACTCTTTTCCGCCTCTAACAACGTTCCATTTCCCAGCCCACTCTAGAATGCTTTCAGACCGATCATCTTTAGGAAATACATGTATATCATAAGGGTAGGACTAAGTCCAAAGAATATCTACGTAAGAACAACCAGCAATGGACGATCAGTTGAAAATAAACACATACACACACACAAACACACACACACACACACACACACACATACACACACACACGCACGCACACACATACACAAACACACGCACACGCTAACACACGCAAACACACATAAACAGTAATACCACAACAAAAATACACTGTGCTCGATAAATCGCTCATGCACTTCAGAAAGTAACAAAACCCATTTGTGGGGTTTCGTAGGATGTTGTTGATAACAGTAGTTAATTGTTAATTTGTTGAAATGTGTTAATTATAGCAGACAGTTGTTAATTATAGCAATATATCAATAACATCATTAAACTAGCAACATCAAGCTGTAAAACACATGCATGACAACAATGGGTAAGAATACGTAGTCTTAAGATCGTACCTATTAGAATAGATTAATCAAAATGATAGGAGTACAGATAACACCTGTCTGAGCATTTCCCCCCACATTATGCGTTATTATACTCGTCAAATGCGTTAAATTTGACTGGATTGGTGAGCCAGTAAGCTGAAGTATAGCGTCGATTATAATTTAGACAAACGTTCGAAAGATTTCCAACAGGCAGAGCGAAGAAGACAACTGAAGACGGTCAGGTTATTAATATAAGATAATGCCACGATATCATCCTCTCAATAAAACCAAACTGACGCCGATAAGTAAGTAGGAAAACCAACACATACTTCAGTCCCATCGTAAAATCGGGAAAGAAAAAAAAAATACAGCTAAAACTTTAAAGTCGTGGTACAAGCTTCTCATGGCAGCTATCTTCTTGGCTGAAATAACCGTTTCGCATAAAACAGAATGCGTCTATCTATTCTCCACTATCTGACAAACAACCATTATTAGCGGGTCTGTAGTCTGGAAGAAAAAGATACTGAGTCCACTGGGGTGAGTGATAAGTCCATTCTCTTTTTCATGGTGCAACTTTTCAAATCAGGATTTTTCTTCAGGAAAAGGAAAAGGGCTGTAAACATCTAGTTCCAGGATCTTATATCATTCATAACTTCAAACAAAAGAAAAAGAAGGAAAACATCTTTCGAAAAAAAACAGTAAATGGTACTATACATTTGCGCAAGCCAAATAAAACATTGAAGGCAAAATACACCCATCTACATTTTTATAAACAAGAACGGAAATGAAAACCTTAGCAAACAACGTCGACAACAAAGACTACATAATCAGCTGCTCTCCTGTTACAGAGGCGCAAATACACGAAAGTGTGAACCCAGAAGGTAGGCAGAGAGGCACAGCGCTGTGACCCAGGCAGCCACAAAACAGACACAGGAAGCGAGACATAAACAAACCCAAATGTCCATGAACAGGCCTATAGAAAAGTATTACACAGCGTAAACGTCTCACGCCAAGGTTATGGACAAGAGGAATTATACAGCCCCCTTTAAAATAACATTTTTTAAAAATAAATCAAAATGCCAGCTAGGAAAACCATCGTGAAACAAAAGGGGGAAACACACGTTGAAAGCGAAAGGGGATTTATTGATGGGGACCGCAAAACGTTAGTTTAAAAATCCAGATTTGTGCAATTCCATCATTGTCTCACCTCCTCTTGACGATTCACCACCTGAATGCCAGATCATCAAATATATTAACTAACTTTTAGAAACTGTAAACATTTCAATGGCTAAAGAACAAAAAGAGGAATTCAGAAGCTGCCATGATATTACATACTGAGAAACAGCGATTCGGGAACAACAGCCTGTGTCAACAAAGATACAGACTTGAGAGCAGACATTATGGCAAATACATGACGCCAGCACACCGAACTACAAGGAGATACAAAATGAAAAGAAAGAAACGATTAAAAAATGATTTACAAGAAGAGAAGAAAAATACAAAAAACATAGACAACGGACACATAAAATGTAGTGCTGATGAACAGACAGACAGAAAGACAGACAGGCAGCACCCAGGAACACAGAAAATGATAGTATTAATATGACAGTAATTTACAGAAAGGGTAACGGCGATTTCCTGTCTTGACTTTCTCGCTGCTCCTTGATTCCATCTCTTGCTGCTACTTGATAGTGTATGCATAATATTATTATCATAGTACAGAGAAGCATAAAATCGACATAACCAGGGACATTTTGCGTTAGTTAACACGCAAAACAAACATAAATCTCTGCTCCTAATACAAATAAAAAGGAGCTGTGGTCAGTACATAAATACAAAAACCTTCAACTTGGCTCACCGTTTACAGAGAGGCAAGGGACAACACGATGAAGGAGAGTAACGGTTCATGAAATGGCCAGAACCAGATGGACTGACTTGCATCATACAGAAAGCGGACTGCTCCAACCCAACTTGTCACGATTAATCGGGGGAAAGTGGGATACAATAGGAAAGAAAGTTGACCTTAATTCAAAACACCGCGAAGAGCAGCTAGGCTCCGCAACAGCTTTCCTGTATTTAAACCAAAAGTAAAAGGTACATGTAGTACGCTTTGTGTTGTGGGCTGGCTTATTCGTTGAACAACTGAGCGAACAGTTGACAGCCGTTACAACTTTTTTTAAATGTTCGTTGAACAGCTTAACGCACAGTTACGAAATACTAATATGCATTTCTTTTCTGAGAAACGGGACCTGTAGCAGGGGTTCCCCGAGCATCTTGCATTAGCAAAGGCAAACCCAGGGCCCAACAAATGAAAATCAGCGTTGCATCAATGAAATACCTGCGGCCTTGAGGTCTAAAAATCAGAAAGTCACAACCATCAAGTGAGACCGAGTGAGATTAAAGAGCTGTGCATGCGGTTACCTGGTAAAGATAAGCAAGTTAGCAAAGTACTGCCAACCTACTTCAACGATGAAAACTTCCCCAATGAACACCAAAAGTAACACGGGTATGCTGTACACATGAGATAAAACTTGCACATTGAAAAAACACAAACCAAAACCAAAAAAAAAGTTGATCACCCACTCATTCATTTCAAAATTGGTAAAATATCCCGGAACTAAACAAAAAACTACAAATTAATGCATTTCCCCAGTAGCTTACCTGTACTCCCTATGCATTCGTCTGAAGCCAAGGACAATTTCAAAAAAAGGTTATTACTCGTCCTCATGTGAACCAAGCAAGAATGTTTTCGGCATTTGGTGCTAGAGGCCACAAACTCTATGGTCCTTGAGGTATACAATTGTAACTGTTCTCCACCTCCATCGACACATATAGATCGTGTAGGAGGCTTCTTCAGCGTTGGCTGTCAGGGACAACCTGAGCTGAAGAATACACCGTCCTAGCAAACAGACGGAGATACTCCATTTTAAAAAACCCACAGGAATGGAACTCACGTCTTCCATGAGACATGACTGTGAACCTAACTGTGGCATCACAAACCCTGGTCCGAGAGGTATATTTATTCGCAAAGCTGGGGAAAAGTAAGTAAGACAGACAGACAGAAACAACAGAGAGAAAGTAAGAGAGTAGGACCTACGAGTGGGGCCATCAAACCACCTGCCCGACTGATAAACGGAGACAACACTGGGAGGAGAGGATAGAAGTAAAACCTGCTATAGCGCCCCCCCCCCCCCTAAAAACAAACAAAATACCCTCACAGAATGCAACCAAACACACACTACTTAAACAGTTAACACTCACTTTAACGTTTAACTAAACATCACCAATCACTGCAATGGAGAATCACTATGTTACAAAATGTATACCCTATTATTTCATTCGTCTCTCATGACACATTAAATCAAATTTCTCTGCCGAGCCCACAGAGCCTCGACACCGGACGCTTCGTCATGTTAACGGGAACAACTGCGAGCCTTTTTTTAGTAGAGGTTTTACAGCGCTTGCAACTGCTTAAGGGGATATGAGCGCCAGAAGATTAGAGGTGTTACAAGAGAGTAACAAACATAAAAAAGAAGGGGAGATAAGAACGATAGATGTTTGATAGGAACCATGAAGCAAGCCACACCAGAGCACCCGCCAACCACCCACCAACTTACAACCTGAATGTTGTTACATTGTACTACCTGACAGAGAAATGGACTGCACGTAAAAAAAACCGTTGAACGTAGACAATAAGATCAGAGGAGGGACGGTCTAGTCACGGTACAGAGTACCGAATTTCCACGGGGAAATTTAAGACTAAGAAATAGGCTGGCTGACAAGAACACATTCTCGCTGCTGCAAATACCTGCCGGCGAAACTTTTTTGGACATCTATAAGTATCGCTTTCCACAATCCAGTCCCCCCCCCACAAAGGCTGGAAAAGGGGAAACTTTGTCGGGGGGGGGGGGCGGTAATCTTTTCAATAAGCGTGCGCGCGCGTGCGTTTGGGTGTTTGTGTGTGTGTGTGTGTGTGTGTGTGTGTGTGCATGTGCGTGTCTGTACGTGTGGGTGTGCGCGCGTGCGTACGTGCGTGTTTGTATGTACGTGCATGTGTGTCTCCAACTACCTATCTATCATATAAAGGGAAGGCGGGTCACGACAAGAGAAAGAAAAGAAAGAAGAAGTGTTGACGTGGCCATATGACCGGCTGTCGATGACC